CACACCACCCAGAGTGTCACCACTGGGGGAGATGAATGCTAGTCTAAAGGCCCCGGCATGAGACTCACACCACCCAGAGTGTCACCACTGGGGGATGAATGCTAGTCTAAAGGCCCCGGCATGAGACTCACACCACCCAGAGTGTCACCACTGGGGGATGAATGCTAGTCTAAAGGCCCCAGCATGAACAGCTCAGCTTGGGGGCCTGAGCAAGTGACTGCCCAGGTGCAGGCCCAGACCAACCAGTGCTTGCAATAGCCATTACCAACATGTCCACTGAAGGGAAGAAAACTGTACCAACGGGGCTTCTCTTCCCCTCTGCCTTTCAATGTTGAGTTGAACATCTTTCCCATTCATTTATGAATGAAACGGGGCTGTAGGCCAGTCTCTGGTACATGGCTGAGCAGCATTAATGCCACACAGGGCTCTGGAGGAATAATATCACACACACAGAGGCCAAAATTAAATACGTGGAGACCTTCAATGTTGGACTCCAAGGATATATCCTTACATTGAGATCTGCCGGGAAGAACTCCCTGACACTGCATCCCACAGGATACCCAACGTTCCTGGAACCCAGGTGCCACACTAGTAAAAAATCAGTCTAGGTTAGATGAATCTGTTCCCTGTTGGTTTCTTTTTAACATAGACGGGAATTGCAGCATCTAAGTTGGTGTGTGTTCTTCACAATAACCTCTCTGACAAGTTACCAATCAGATTATCACTCAGCACATCATCAAACTGTGCTTTGGGCAACAGGCATTTGGCATGGAAGTGACCACAAGCCGCACAAACCATAGTCCCTGGAAAGGAGAATTCACCTCTATGAAGAGCCAACTCTCATTTCATCGCTGGGCTGAGCACATGATCAAAGTGCACAGAAAGCAAAGACTAAACACTTCCCAGGTGGATTATCTCAAGTGGCTGAAAAGCACTATCTCAAGAGAATGCCCCAAACTGAGTCCCAACCTGATCCCTGCAAGAGCACAGAGCCCTCCAGGTGCACCTACAAAGGACGGTTACTACCTGGATGATAAACAACTCTGTGACGCTGGACACTGGGAACAAACTTTAGTTTTAAAACTAATTTGGATCTTCTATTAATCAGCTGAAAGCATAGGAGCGTCAGTGAAAGCAACCAATAGGATTTGTTTTGGGGAAGCTATTTAAGAAAAAATGTTTATGATTTAAGACATCAGATATTTTGGTTAGATGCCACTGAGTCACAACTGACTGGTGACCCCAAGACACAGCAGGATGAAGTACTGCCCAGTGCTGCTCCAGCCCCGTGATCAGCTGCTGATCAGACCATCGGGCCCCACAGGGTCTCCCTGGCTGATTTCTAGAAGCAAAGCATCAGAGCTTTCGTCCCGTCTTAGTCTGGAAGAGCCACTGAAACCCGTCCAGCGTCACGGCACCACGTAAGCCTCACTGATGGACAGAGGGTGACTGTGCGTTAGGTCCACTGGCCAGGAATCAAACCTGGCCCTCCTGCATGGGAAATGGGGATTCTACCACCGAACCAGCAATGCCTCAAGATGGCAGATGGGCCCCCATGTTTGCCTTCTTCTTTTCAAAGACCTTAAATCAAATGTTAATACAGTGGACACTGCCCCTAACCACTGGACGTATCTTTGATTGGCAGAAAGCAGATGGGTGGTTTCCTCACTATGTGGGGCAATGTGTCCCCAGGGCCCCAGGTTCTGCTGATGCTCTAGATGCAGATATCTGGGTGCGATTACACAGGTGCCTACTTTTTATCTACTGTTCAATCACACATTTTTATGTACTTTTCTGTGTGTATACTATTTTTTACAATAAAAACACCCAAAAATAAAAGCAGGAAGACATTCATGATAGATGAGGAGAAAGACATGTGGTTAAGGAGGAGGCTGTAGTGAGAAAAGGAGCCAGTCCCAGCAGGTCAGGCTCGGAGGCAAGAGGAAGAGGCAGAGCTGGAAAAGAGTACGAACACATTTCAATCTTTTATGAAAGAGACACATTCATCAGACGCAAAGGAAACAGCCTAAAGTGCTGTCTCACCCCACCCACAGGTCTATGGGCCTGCAGTGTGCCTGCTACCTGGAGGGTTAGTCACATGGATGGAACCTCACATGGATGGAACCCCCCTACACCAGGATTGAGGCTCCTGACGTAGCACTAGGAAAAGGGCAGGGCTCTCAACCAGTTCTTCCTGGTTCAGTTATGGCCAACAATGCACAACAGGACTCACTTACTGCCATCGAGTTGATTTTGACTCATAGAGACTCCTCCTTGGTTTTCCAAGGCAGTATTACTATGGAAGTAGATTGTCCAACCTTCCTTCCAAGGAGTGGCTGGTAGGTTTGCACCTCCAGCCTTCTGGTTAGCAGTCAAATGCCTTAGGCACTACGCCACCAGAGCTCTTTGCAAAACGGGAAAGAACCCAAATTTATAAAATATGAGTATACTGAAATGATAACCAGAACGGGAAACATTATGGGTCAATGACCTCCTGGAAAATTAATATCCCTCCTAGAAAACAAGGCCAGCATGTGTGTGGCACAGCAACCAACTCTCTTGACAGGTGGAGTGGGAAACAATGGTGCCCTGCTCAAAGATGGCAACCAACTGCATTGCTTTGAATGGGTGTCACTCTCTGACGTCCTGGCAATAATCCAGTCTCCCACATCAGGCTCCTGAAAGGGCTCATGATGCCTCTTCCAAGTGTCTCATTTTAGGACTTGGACCTAAATTTTCTGCCATCCTGTTATTGTTCCAGCACATCCACATTTTACAAAACCGAGTCTGTTCCAATTCCTCTGCACTGACTGTGACTGAACTGGGAAGACCAGCTCAAAGACTTGGAAATGGGGTTGTTTTTCCAAAGCATGTTGAGACTTTGAGGGAAGCACACTGGAGCAGGATACCACAGCAGGCTGCTTCTACCTCCTGGCCCACCACACCAGGTCAGGCTCAGCTGCTAGCCCCAATGATTAGGAGTTTCCTAAATGGTAGCAACATTTTTACAGCACTTTGTAATTTATTTTTGTTTTTTAACTTTTTATTGTTATTTAACTGAAATTTTACAAAGCAGATCTGCTTCATATTCAACACTTCATACACATTTTGTTTTGTGACACTGGTTACTTTCCCTGCATGTAGTAGCTTTCCTCCCACTTCCTCCCATGGTTACCCTTTCCCTGTGTCCTTCTTGCCTATGCATTCCTGTCTCCCTACCTTTTTCCCTGTGCAAACACCGCCCTTCTGATCTGCCATGGTAGATTGTTCCAAGGAATGCATTTCCCTGGTGTAGGTGTTCAGGTTTTAAGCCTGTTCATTGTTTGGCTGAGAGTGAAGCTGTGGGAGCAAGTCCAATTGCAGGTCCGAAGGGTGACTCTGGGTCATAATCTTCGGAGTTTCACCAGTCTCCATCAGACCACTAAGCCTGGTCTTTTTTTTATTATGATTTTGAGTTTTGTTGCACGTTTGTCTCCCACTCTATACAGGATCTCCAAATTTTGATCCTTCAGAGTGGCTGGCATTGGTAGCCGGGCACCATCTAGTTCTTCTGGTCTCAGGGTCAAATAGGCTGAAGTTCTCATAGTCCATTAGTTCTCTGGACTAACTGTTTCTATGTGTCTTTGATTTTCTTCACTTTCTGCTCTGAACAAGAAGAGACCAATAGCTGCATCTTAGATAAGCTAAGCTTATCTTATAAGCTTTTAAGACCTCAATCACTACTCACCGAGGCAAGATGTAGAACAGTATTTTTGTATGTCATGATGTGCCAATGGAGTTTGATGTCCCCCATGACCATGGTCCCCAACCCACAGGCCCAGTGACTCACTCTCTCAAGGTGCTTAGCTGTGGCCAAGAAGTTATGCTCACTCTGTTTTCTGGAAGTATCTTGGAGTAAGTATCTTTGACCATGTCATTCCTTTTTTCATTGAAAACCTCGGATTTTTATTTTAGAGTGTTTGAATGACACCAGTTCTGAATGCTTCTATGATGCTCTCAAATCCCATAGGCATAAGTCAGTATTATGCTTTGAAATTAAGTCAGTGTAACAGTCTTGATAGGAACTTTTTGTTGTTTTTATGTGCTGTCGAGTCAGACCAACTCATAGAGACCCCTCCTTGGGTATCCGAGGCAGTATCACTACGGAAGCAGATTGCCCCATCTTCCTTCCGAGGAGTGGCTGGTGGGTTTGAACCGCCAGCCTTCTAGTTAGTAGTCAAGTGCCTTAGGCACTAGGGTACCAGAGCTCCCGATAGGAACTTAGAAACAGAAATGTCTCTACCTTCATGAGAGTCTCTAACATTAATTGTAGGCCGTGAGAAAGTCATTTAGCAATTTTTGATTCGACACAGAAATGTAGACACATATGAAGCATGGAAGGAACGCCAACCACCTTTTTGTCAGCAGTGAGCCGGCAGGCTGTGACACAGAATGTAAACAAGCCCCTTGTTTCCCACCTTGAAGAGGAGAGCTGTCATTCAGCTACTCTAACCCTGGAGAGAAGACATAACATTCTACTCTTTGATGGCACACTGTCCCTTGTCATGTGGAGGACTAATTCACACATAAACCCTAAATTTCTGCTCACTCAGTGAGAGAAGGCAGAGCTGAAACTGAGATTCCTTCTGCCGCCACCATCCTTGGCCCTGAGGTGTAAGGGACCTCCATTGAGATCGAGCAGTGGTCAAGCCTTCCTCCCAAGATATCTCATTAGAGGTATAACCATGAAGTATAAGATTT